GGTGGGAAAAAAAAGAGAGACCAGATTTTTAAGTGAGTTCGTGTTTTATTGAAGCAGCATTGTCTCGTACTTTTAAGCTGTTTGTTTCCTATTGGCTCGTTGGCACGTGACGTCACTCACCTCGAAACTCGGCCCGCTCCGCCATGACTGGACGTGGAAGAAAAACGTAGATCACATAAAGCCCGTCAAAAACCAGACATCATGTCGCTTTTATTTAGTTGATTTCGCGGTAAGAAACGGACTGTCTGTCTGTCTGTGCTTCACGGTCGGAGGCACAGACAGACAGACAAGAACAGAACCAAACTATTTGATTAACGTTTAATGAGGAAAGTCATTGGTGGGTAGCTGCCCTCAATGGTGACTGGCAGCCATGGGTGTAAACACGGACTTTTTACAAGGTAAGAAGATTAACGTTCATATATATTATTAGTAAATATAGTTAGAAACATCAAATATCGCATTATGGCGAAAGTACGCAGCAACTATCAGCGATCATGGAAACAAGACCACATATCATGTAGCCTAGCATGTATGGGTAAAAACACGGTTAGCCGCTAACGTTTGTTTTTTGTTAGAGTCTCATCTTTTGGTTCTTAAGCTTGTTCCGGTTTAAGGGGAGACGCTGTTTGTGACATAGCGACATAAATCACGAAGTCAGACAAAGTGGATACATTTTATCAACAGGAGGGAAGAAGTACAGGTCGGTTTCTAAGATGGCTGCTTCAAGCTGCTGTAAATACCGCCGTCAGTGAGCCACAACCAGGTGTGTTGCCCTCAAAAACAAATTAGTTTGACTATAAGAAGTAAATGCCATGAATAAATGTACAAGAATAACTGGGGAAAACAACTTCGGTCGCTCAGATCAACACTCCTGACGAAATGATTCCGATGCCACAAAAGCTGTTGTAGTCCAACCATCACACCGCAAACTTCGACCATCCTTATCCCTTTCCCCCAATACCTCACAAAACGCAGAACAATTTAACAACATGCTCCTAGCATTTCTCAACAACTCATAGGCAGAAGCAAGAACGCTGCCCACCACAAATAGTCGTCCGGCCTGAACTCGGTGCGTGCATAATGAACATAATTTAACAAAGCTTCGAGTCAGATACATTTTCGTCAAGGAATTTTAATAATCGAAGTACTCGAATCATTCGAGGAATCGTTTCAGCCCTAGTCAATACTACCATGTATGTAAAAATGTCAAAAAGTTGTATTTTGCAGCGGCCTTCATATGAGACTTATAAGCAGATTTGGTGGGTCTTTAAGTCCTGTCTCATTTCTACAGTGCACTATATTGCCAAAAGTGACTGCTTGTTTGACTTTCTGCATATCTAGTGAGACTCCATTTTTAATCCCTAATTTGATAAAGGCCCACCCTCTGCAGTCATTGGAGTTTGAAGATTTCAGGGAAGACTTTCTACAAAGCTAAGGAGTGTGTTTGTGCATTCTGTGACAGATTTAGGATGAGAAGGCCTGACTCCCAATCACCACTCTTACAACAAAAGCGTTCTGCCAGGTCGAGGTCATAGTACTGCATAAATCAGTCAAGTTCTTCCACAACAAACTCACAACATCTACATGGGAATATATACCTGGAGACTACATGAAGTTTGGAGGTCAGTACCTACTGACTCTGCAGAAAGTAGGTGACCTCTGTGCAGCTGAGCATCTGCCATCCCCCTCTGTTATTTTATCTCACCTACCACTTTGTATACGAGTTGCTCTCATTCCCAATCTTTTTAAGTCTGTTGTGAATCCACTTACAGTTTAACTCTAGACAGAATATTTAATAGAGGGAAATTCACGATTGAAACTAGTCCACTTTAGAACTCTCTGATTTCCTGAGAGTGACTTGTTCTGGTCTGCATGCCTGGTTGTTGGATTACACGCACTTGTAATGGAAGTAATTGAAACTCCTGAATTCAATAAATTAAGTCATTAAAAATCATGGTAGCGATGGATGTAACAGTTACATGAGATTATCTTCATAATTCAGCCGTTGTACTAGTGCTCATTTTTCAGCCAATCAGAGGAGACGTTGACGTCTTATTCAGAATTTGGAGCAACAAACTCCTTGAACAAAACATCCTCCTACTACTTCCTGTCGTCTTCTCTGTCGTTTCCACCAGTAGTAACATCTGGCTGTCGACCACGCGACTCGTGTGAAGCCAAAACAGTTTTTCCATTGCAGTTTTGTGAAATACTGCAATGACCAAGCATTGATATGCTTGGTCAATGCGACCAATAAACCAATTGAGAGTTTTCTCAACAGAATATTTAGAACCAAACAACAAAAACATGTTTTGATGTCTCTTCTTGAAAACAAAAATCACAATTTCCTATTGGATGTATGACCAAAACGTAATCTGGATATAATGGTTTCCTCTTTTTTATTTTGTCCTGTTGTCATTACACCAACATTTCTTTCAATACTGTAAAGCCACCTACCATTTAAATCCTCTTCCCACTGCTTTTATTATTAAAACTTTTGTTTAATAATAGATTTGATTTCTTCTTTACTGAATGGCACCAATATATCAGTATAACTATTTTTTGTAGCTTGCTTTGCATATTTGTCTGACAACTCATTTCCTGTTATTCCTACATGTGATGGTATCCATGTAAAAGTAACTAAATAACCCATTGCCTGAATTCTATAAATTAATAACTGAGTCTCTAATGAAAGGTCCAGTCTACTAATAAATTATTTTTTTATGAATGCAATGATGAACTTGAATCACAATATATTATACTTCTTAAAGGACAAATTTTCTGAATTCATCCTAAAGCTAAAATGATTCCATCATCTCGCCTGTCTAAACTGATTCTCCATCAATAATTCTTTTACATTTTTTTAATACTGAATTCTGGAACAATGAATGTCACCCCATTATAGCTATTTGAGTTTTTTGAAGCATATGTGTGAACTTGGACATATACATAGTACTTATTGTCTAAATATGACTGTACTGAATATGAATCTGAAAGGTTTTCTTTTCCCCTTTTTTCCAACAAAGTAAAATAGAACATGAAAAGAACCAGGCGGGTTTTAAATGTAAGCTATAGCTTCACATATTCTGCTCTGTTTGTCGTGTGATGCATTAAAAGTCAAAAAACTTTGCAGACCAACTTACTCAGCTGCAGCAGACTGATGTGAAATCTATCCATGCTAGCAAGACACATGCTTGGTTCGTGAGACTGGTCAGATAAACTCCCGAGATCAAAACCATGAAAACATGTCTTCCACGAAAACGTCCGTCAACATCTCTGATTTTCACAAAGACGCTGGTGGAAGACAAAGTAATAAAATGTCAAATATAAGACTTCTAAGTGCAAGAAATTCAAAACGTGAACATGCAATTGTCTACGATGGGATTGTGCCACCGTTGATCTTGTTAGAAACATTTATTTCTAAACAGTGGAATTTCCCTTCCCACTAAAAATATGTCCACTACATTGAAGTTTGGATGACTTTCTTGTTTTGCGCTTGAGAGGGAGAGATTATGCGACTGCCATAACAGATTAATTTTCCACATCTTTACCAGAGGTGCCAATGATGTTGCCGGAGCTGCAAGAGGAGATGGATTAAAAAAAACAACAACAAAAAACCTGCATCAAAACACGATCGTATAGGCTTGTAGAAATTCAAAGCTTTGAGCAACACTCTATAAGAAATGACCAACGTTGAATAAACAAGGCCATTATACATAATTCAGCATCAACCCTGAAGGTGATGCGTGGAGGGAATATTCAAAAAAAAAAAAGATGGCACATTTTCAAAACATGTGTTGTTTATTTCCTGAAGCGCACATCCAGTATCGAGATGAATAAATAAAAGAACTCCAGTACCTTGAATAATATAATATCAGCAGGCATGGCTAATGAGTCGTCCCAAGGCAAGAAGCCGACCGAGGGAGCGCGTCTGTCAGAGGCAGACGATAGGGCAGGTTTTATATGAAAAAGATGTGAAATGAAAAAAAGTTAGCAGAACTGAAGCAGAAAATTTAAAAGCAAGCATTCTGAGAAAAGTTGTGTTTTAACAAAAGATCCACTTTTTTTTTCTTTCTTTTTTTTTGTTTACAAATGAACGGGCCACCAAAGCTCACTGAGGAGCTTGAGAGGGAGAGCAGCAACCTTTACAGCAGGGAATATAAGTATTGTTGACTTTCTTCTCAGGAAAGATTTTTATCCATCACCATACTGGCATTAGATTAACGTAGGTAATCCACAAAAATCAAAACAAAGAAGTCAAAAACAGTTTGTTGCGCACGATTCATGGAATTTGTCGATACGTAATAAAACAGCCTTTGTTGGTTCAGACTGTGTTAAGTCGCTCTGTGTAGAGTAAATAGTCGCATGCTCAGGTGAGATTTTGACACGTCTTAAATAATTTTAAAGCATCTCCTTTGCTCATCTGTACATATTTTCCAGATATTTTTAATTGGATTTAAAGCTGACTTGTCCAGTCAACAAAGTAACTGGAGAATATTCTCCATGAAACCCATTAAGCATTTTCAAGGTTGTGTTTAGGCTCATGGTCTTGCTTAAAAAAAATAAAAATCCACCCATGTTCCATTTTCAGATGATCAAATTCCATATACTGAAAGATGATATGATGTTTCCACCCCAAAACTTCACTGTTTTTGTGGTGCGTTTGGTGCGAACATAGTGACATTCCTCCTCCAAATGTGACATGGTGGCGTCCAAAAACTTTGACTAGGCTATGTTCTAGGGACTTTCGCAATTGTTCTGCAGCAAACATAAAACACAATTTCCAATCTTGTGCATTAAACGTGCATAGAGACCATTTTATTTAAATCCATTACTTATTGTTTTGGAGAATAATTTGACCTGCTAATTCCAAGTCTTTTTAATTGTAATTTGTTTTGTGAGAAGATAATATGATCATGACTGGTTTAAAATAGAAATTATTTCTCTCACTTTTAGTAAATACCCCTCAACATTGCTGACAAGAACATTTATAAGTTCAGAAATAAATTTGTAAACCAAACTAATTATTTTATTTACCACATGGAGGTTGTGAAGGTCTTCTGTGATACAATGGTGATAAAATACCTTTTCATCAGTTACAAGTAAATTAGCTAACACAAATATTGAATCGATAAAGAGCTGAGATTCTGCGTAAAAACTGAAATTTGTTTCGATTTCTTTGCATGCGTTTAGATTACGTGGATAACTACCAATGTCTGGAATGTGATAGGCCCGTTATGCATCTATCTCCTGACAAAACGCTGACCAGTGTCAATACTTATTTTCCCTCTTACATGTCATTGATACTTGAAAAATATGTATTTTACAGTATTTTTTTTATTTTCTCAGTTTCTTTATACAGAGTATATTCATATAGTTTCTGCTGACTATTTTCACATTCTCACCACAGAGTAACAAGTGCTTTGAGTAAAACATCTGAAGAAAACAAAAAACTAAACCAAAAATAATAAAAATAAAAAAATCATGCACCTTTTAATAGCTTTGTCGGCCTAAACAAAAAACAAAACCAAAAAAAGAAACAAGAATAAACAAGAATGTTCAAGGCGACCAAAAGAATCTTCTTCAGGCGTCTTCGTTGCGAGTCATTTGAGTTCCCCTCGATCAACGTTTTTCGGACTAATCGAATCATGCCTACGTTAAGCTTTACACCGTGGAGTTAGCAACACAAAACCATACAAGGGGCAGGCAAGCGTCTCAACACAAAGGCTCCTTAAAACCTCATGAGTCCACAGAAGAAAGGCAAGCATTCTCCAATAAATTATAAAACCCCCAACACGTATAAAAAAATGTTGACACTGGGTAGACCAGGGTTTTGGAGGTTAGGGGAGGATGCTAGTGGACTGAGCAGGTTCTTTGAGAAGAGGGTGGTTCAACCCTCCCTCGACAACTCTTTAACTCGATGGGTTATGGGATCCGGTAGTCCGCCCTGGGTTGTGTCCTCCCTCTCCTGGGACAGGCTGCCGGGGCTGTTTGCATGTTTGCGTTTGGGCGAGGATAAAACAAAACGAGACGGGCAGGGCTGGTCTGAGGATGACGGGGCAAACAACAGAGCGCGTCGCCCCCGTTGTACTGCACGAACAGCAACCAATCCTGAGATAGCAGGAGTCTGATACAAAAACACACCACAAAAGGCACTTTATAAAATGACAGTGCTTCTGTTCTAAGGAAATTCAAGTTGACAAAGAGTTAAAGAGAGAGTCGGTGAGCGCCCCCTTCCCCCTCTTTCCCTCGAAATAAAAACATTCTCTTCAGTGTGAGACTAAAGCCGGAGATAGTTTTGTTTTCAACAATCAATCAAAGCACAAAATTCACTACTCGTGTGTCTCGCGGCCCGCCTTGATTCGTCCCCGGAAGAATCCAGGTCCAGCGTGGCGAGAGAACGGAAAAAAAAAGAAAAAGAAGTAAAAGTGAAAATGTCACACTACAAACTCGGCACTAAAAACCATAAAGCCAGAATACAGTTGCATTGCAGCGGAGTTCACGTCTGCAGGCTCGGCCGACTACTGCCACCCATGGAAAAGGGTCCGTTCCTCTCAGCTCTCTTCCATGGTTTCTTCTTGTTGTCGGGTACTTTACATCCTCTCTCGACCGTTCCTGCCTCTGCAGACCCCTGCCACAGTCCGCGCCCCCCCGCCACCAGCGCCCCTCTCTCAGTCGTCCGCTCCTCCGCCGTAGAGATCTGCCAGCTTCTTAAAACGCGGACCCCAGTCGTTGAGGTAGTCGTAGTCCTGGTCTCCTGAGCTGGTGGAGTTGAGCGAGCTGACAGAGCCGGCGGTCGAACCGCTACCCTCATAGTCGAACACCAGCAAGGAGTCGTACGGCGGGGCGGTGGGGTCGTTGTCGGCGGCCCTCAGACCCTGAAGCCGTAAAGAGAGAAGAAGAAAATTGCTTTTACACGAGGCCAGAACTAAGCTTTTGACAGAAGCTTACTTTTGCTATGTACACAAAACTAAATCATTAGGAGCCTTTCTGGAATGACAAAAAACTTGAGAGTTGGTCTCTCTAGAGGAGCAAAGCACAATTTTTCAATTGTGATGTTTCCATTTATTCAATTCAATTCATAATTATTTAATCAAGGACAGCACAGTAAACAATATTACAAGAAACTGATGTTTTGTACTTGTTTTCTTGCCACAGAGTAATTTGCAAGGACAGTCCTTGGTTGACCAAACTCAACACCAGGCCCTAATGGAACTATTTGGGTTGAAATTTGTTGCTGTTTCATGCAGAAATGCTCTTGTACAGCTTTGTTGATTTTTCTCTTGAGCTAGTCAATCAATCATCAATCAATCAAATTTTATTTCTATAGCACATTTCAGCAGCAAGGCATTTCCAAGTGCTTTACATCATTGCAACACGTCAAAACTTTTCATTAAGTCATGTGCAAACATTAAATTCATTATTGATTACGTTTCAAATACAACTCTAAACAGGTGGGTTTTTAGTCTAGATTTTTTATAGTTTTCTGGAAGTTTGTTCCAGATTTGTGGTGCAAAGAAGCTGAATGGTTCTTGTTTGATTCTGGGTGCTAAAGCTATTCAGTGAAACTAATGGCTAAAAACTCCTGGATGGGAGTCGTAACGCTGTTGTTCACAAAGGAGGCTGTGTGTAGAAAAGTGTAGTGATCGCATTTCCTTCAAGGAGCTCCAGAGCTTCTTCCAAGACCTCATAAGTCAGAAGTGGAGACAGAGAAATCCCCTGCACCTGGGACTACTTTAAAATGGCAGAAGCATCTTGTTCTACATATAAAAATATTATCAATAAAAAAACAAGTGTGGTAATCCTGTTGGCTGCTCAAAATTTAAAGTACATATATTCCCCACCTTCTTACTCTTTGGCTGGAAATTATTTCTGGGTCTTGTTCATGCTTTTAAAGCCTGCTGCTGCCTGGTGGCACAAACTATTTATCATTACTACCTCATTCCCTGGACCCACCCTGCCAGCTTGATGTAGTACAAGTACCCTCCTGGCTGCATAGGTGCTTTCAAAAGTCACATGGATATGGCAAAAAGGCTCTTTAATGCCACTTTGCAGGGTTTTTTTTTTGTTGTTTTAAAGTGCGTATCCTTCAAATGCATTAAGGATATTCAACCCAAAGGGAAATCATATATTCTTCATGTCCAAATTACTTAATTTTTGAAACTCAAATTTCCAAAACACTCCTTCTAAGCCCAGTTTTAAAGTTTAAATACAATATCTAATTTTGGATGTGTGGAAGATTTACCTCAACCTCCTAAACCCAAAGAGAAGGAAGGAAGAAAGAAATCTGAATATACAAATCTTTTCTTTTCTTGTCTGATTTTTGTCTTTTTCCGTACCTGTGCAGCCCTTAAAAACAGACCAAAGAACCTTTTCTCCTACAAGTTTTCCCTGTGAAATACAAAAATGTGTTTTCAGTAGCTGGTTTTCCAGCTGGGAAAGCAGATTCAGGGGTGCAGTTGACTTTAAAGAGTGTAGTAAACTCCTCTTTTCCGGCTCACCCACCGGGAAGGCTTCGAATGATTCATCATCGGCTGAAAGCTGATTGAGAGGCAGAACAAATGCCTCTACCAGGAACGCTGCTGGCAGAAAGTTAATTCTCACAACAGAAGGAAAATCGCTTGATATTAGCCAGAAACTGTTACGACAGCATAATTATTTTTAAGTATAAAACAGGTGGCCAGCATAAAAACATGGATGTATGAAATATTTTTAAGTCATGGATCCCAGAGGAGGTTGTAAGAAGGTGTCGACCTAAAAACCTACGTCGTTTATGAAGTCTCCTATGTCCCCCGGGTGGGGGACGCTGGGTCTGACTGGGTACTGCGACTCAGCAATCACGGGCCTCTCGTCGACCCGGCGCACCCCTGTTGGCTTGCTGATGATGTGGTCCAGTGACTCCGGCTGCTGCAGCTGGCTCAGGTCGTAGTCCTGAATGAAACGAGATTAAAATCGGTGAGGAGGATCGGAAACATCACAAAACCACAACAGTCAAAGAATTCTTTGTGAAGAGACTAGTATGTCTTCAGTGTCAAACTCAAATTGGCCGTCCATAGCTTTATATTTGGCCCTCGAGACTGAAGTGGACACAGGAACTGAATCTTCAAAATAACAGTGTATTTTATTTAGTGTTATTTAAATAACTTTAAAAAGTACTTACTGAATAAAGACACAGCTTTTTATTCATATTTTTAAGAATTTATTCATGACTATTTTAAAATCAATAAATTTTTTAAATCAATCAGAAAATGTATGATCTTGATATGAAGGGCCAGCCCAAGGCATAAGTAAACTAAGCAGCCGCTTAGGACCCTGGTGCTACAAAGGGGCCCCCTCAGTCTAGTTGATTTTGTTTTTCTTTTTAATAATAATTTGTCATTATAATATTAAAACACACAATTTCACTATGAGCTGATTTGTTTTAACAATAATATATATTTGATAATGTATGTAAAAACTATTTTATTGATAAAAAGAAAAACTAAATTGCTCTTAGTGGTAACGGTAGGTACTGCCATGGGCGAAGGATCCGCGAGGGACGGGGGGTTCGTGTCCCCCCAATATTGGAGACGGTCACATTCGTCCAACCCAATAATTTGACCGCAGTTGTGAAGAATTTTGTAATCTTCCACTCATGCTTTTATTTGAAAATGACAGCTAAGAAAAAAACATGTAGGTTTTTTGCCTCAGTATTTTTCATGGCTCATGTTTGGTAAGTTGCTGAATGCAAGGCTGGAAAGTGAAATTGAGTTATCAGTGAGGAGCTAAGGTGTGTTAGAAGTGAAAAATATCATTTTTATTAATTTTGTAGATCAAACTGATGTAGAGAGTTGTTCAAGAAGAACAAAACTTGTTTTTTAGATTTTATTTTTGTTGGTAAATAAAATTACTGTATTGAGTTGAAAACTGCTGAGTCCTATTTTATGAGTTGTTTTATAACTTCGGTTTTAGAAAGATGTTATATGCTTCACATGTAAGTATTGGCCGATCACGATCCCCCAAAATTAAGAAAATCAGCGCCCAGAAAATAAATGGTCGATAAATCAGGTGGCCAATAAATGTTTCCTATATTATGTAAACAGCACTACCAGAGATGCTACAGAAGGTATATGAATGAGCTAATGGTCGGACTGCTGATTGCAGCCAGTCCACATTGTTAGCAGAGCTAGAGGGGCCCAAAACCAAATTTCGCTTAGGGCCCCATGGAGGCTTGGGCTGGCCCTGCTGATATGGTCTAAAATCAACAGTTTACATTAAGATACACTCCTCTGGTTGGAAATCAATCCAATCATTTAGTTTTCTTGTCCTCCTGTTTGCTTTTTTAAAACTTTCTTTCCCCCCACTAATTTCCTCAATAGAAACAGAACAGCTTGTTTATCTCTTTACTGTTATCCTACATATGATTCATAAATATGCCCATTAAATCTTCATCCAGGCATGTCAGTTAAGAGGCCTGCGAGGACCACAACCATCTGTTGCTCGCATTTTTTTACTCTCCACATATCGGTGTGTGTAGGTGTTGGAAATAAGTGAGAATCAAAATAACATTTATTTATTTAACTGTCTGCTCTGAATTCAGCTCGCTGAATTCAGGGACTTTAATTACATAGAAAACAGGACAAAGGAATATGCAGCTTCCCATCCCTAAACTTCAACATATTTAGCATAGAAAGACATGGTTGGCAATCAACAAAATTATCACACACTTTTTAGATATTTGTTTAAACGTTGCATTTTGCATCGTACCTAAAACAGAATGCTTTACTGAAAAATAAGCAGGCTTTATCTACGTTTCGCCTAAATGTTGTTTTTTTTCACTTTCATTGTATTTCTTCTGTGCCGAGCTTTAAGATAACGATAGTGGATTTATTTACATAAAACTTTTAACCTGCACAACAAATCAGAATTAATAAGATGAGGTTTGTGTGAAGAAAAAAAACAAAATCCGGATGATGTTTTATTCTGCCTGAAGAAATCAGCAGGAATCTTAAGCTTGTCAGTGCCTTTTCTTTTCAGAACCCAAATGGCTGCTGGTTCATGCTGAGGTACCAGGAATACTGCCAATACGGATCATGATCAAAACCCTTAAACAGACAGAACGGCGCTATAATTATCCCTGCGCAGATGTAGAAGCTTTTGTAAAAAGTTTGAAGGTTTTGTATCGTTCCAAGAGACGAGAGTAGAGATGCTTTGTGAAATGTGTGAAAAGCTGCTTTGTGCTAGTCATTCAGGTCGTAAATCTTGCAAAAACGGTTTCAAACGGCTCATTGCACTACGTCAGATTCATATGCAGTTTTTGTCGGCTCTTCGTTGACCGAGGCGGAATAAAGCACAAGAGTGTTCATGTGTATTGACCTTTTCCAACAGCTTTCTGCGAAACTCAATAAAAGTGAGACATTGTTAATATGAGCTGAATCTGTGTTTTATCTGCGGGAGGTCAACGAAGTGCATGAATGTGTTGAAACGAGTGCTAAAATGAAAGCAGTTCCTTTTAGTGGAAGAATTTAGCTATTTTTTAACTTAGCTTTTTCTTTTTTCCAGATAAATGAACTAAGCAAGTTTTCCCTGGAGATATTTAATAACATCCCCTTGACTAATAAACAGTCTATGTAGTTAAAAGCCGCATATACTGCTGGTGCTCTTCCTACACTTGGACTGAACCATTGTTCTAACAATGGCAGGGGGACCTAAAAATGTATTCTTATTTTTTTTTTTTTTTGTAAGATAAATGTCAAGTAGAGACACCCAGGCCTGATCATTGCCCCACCTGTAGAATCAGGGACTCTGTTAAATAAAACCTGCCTGACGACGAAAAGCAGGCCTGAAAAATCTCAACACATCATGGCCCTGATCTAAATAAGTACCACGATGAGGGGATAATCAGTGTTATTATCTTCACTTGTCAGTGTTGCGTATTACTTTGCCTTGTGTGTGAATATCTGTAGTAATCAGTTGTACCTGGTCTTCTTCTCCACCTCCCTCTTCGTCATACTTCAGGATGTTGTCTCTGACGTCGTCCTCTGGGTCGATCAGCAGGGGCTTTGCTTGCCGCTCCTTCTCTCTGCGCTTCATCCACACCACGAACAGCAGAACCATACCTTGCAAAAAAAAAAAAAAAAAAAAATTGTATCTTTTCTCATACTCGTGTCAGTAGCAGCCATTCATTCTACAGAGTCGCACTCACTCAGCAGTATGATGATGCAGATGAGGATAGCGATGATGGCTCCGGTGCCGAGGCCAGCGGCCGCCACTGCCCCTGTAGCACTGCAGTCCCCATTGTTGTCGCAGGGACACACTTTGATCCTGATCATAGAGCGGTTGGACAAAGGCGGGTTCCCCGAGTCGGACACTATGACCGGGATCACGTAGACGCCTGCCTCCAGGTAAGGAATCCTCAGTCTGAGCTGAGCATAGTCGCCTGCCGAAGTCGGACAAGGAAGGTGGGTGAGAGGAGGGAAGACGGAATAAGACATCTTTTAAAACATAAACAATCCTTTGTTTACATCACATGCATGAGTGCACGGCATCAGCCGCTTCAACACGAGCAATCACTCTGACATGTGTGACTGAAGGCAGAAACATCTAAAACTACAGTGTGTAACCTTCAGCATCTATCATTCAGCCTCAGACAAGAGCCTCTGTGGGAGTCGGATCCAGGTATGTGATCAGATTTGTCCTCAAGACAGCTGCTGTGATGCATCCATCCTGTTGGATTAGGTGACAGATCGGCTGCTCGGGGGACCGTGAGACGAATGGATCTCATTTGTCACAAACGATAGATCGTACGTCAGGGCTGGATGGCACCCGTGTTCCTCACTGCGAGCTTTCCAAGACGTTTTGTTAAACTCGGACCTTCCCTCTCACTGCCTCCAGCCGCCCCCAATCCAGAGGATTAATGGAGATATTTTTTGCATCAGGATTACGGTTTGTAATTTACTGAGGAAGCAGCTTGCTCATCTTGCACTCTTTCTTTCTCTCTCTCTCGCCTGCGTTTTGTCCCAAGTGGTCCATTTTCACCACGATCTGGTTTTAAACGCAGCGTTTAATTACCGCTCAGCCTGGAGATGGTCCAGTTCCGGCGGATGCTGGCAGGAAACGAAGGCAGCTCAAAGACAAACGGCCCGACGTTGGGCTCGGCGTCTGCATCCGAAGCCGTGATGTTGATTCTGGAGTTGGGCCGGGCTCGCTCGCAGATTTGCGCCTCCTTGGGTATCAGCACGGGAGCGTTGTCGTTGACATCAATCAGGTAGATCTGGAGCGTCCCAGTCCCGCTGGCCTGGGGCGAACCTGAGGAAGACAGAAGAGACGACGCCTTTCAAAAGAGAGACCGAAGACTTTAGATGGAATGACAGGACACTGGGAAGAAGAAGAAAGGAACAAGGAAGGAAACAATAGGGAAGACGATGTGTTGTGTCTGCTTATGGAGTGGATGAAGTTTGAAACCAAACACATGGAACAAATGAGTGGACACAGCCAGCAGATGTTCCCTTTCTTTGCCTTTATAATTGCCCTGAAAAGTTTGAACTATCTGGCATGAGACTCTCGTAAAGATTTCTGTTATGTGCTCTTTGCATATCCCCCTGAGAAATGAGTCAAACACTAACCTTTCAAAACAAGCTCATCATTATAACCACTTCAGGTACGGTTCTCAATGCCAGGTCAAAGCAGGACCAATTTATTCTCTTTTTTTTCTGGGTATTTTTCCTGGCTGCTAACAGGAAAATGTGCTCTTGAACTGAATAAGAAATATTGCTTGCAGCTTTTTAAAGTCAGTTCTGCTGAACACAGGAATGAAAGCCTCTGGCTTCTTCCCTATCAGTAAAACTTCAAAGCACCAAAATCAGGCTGAACTCTGCTGTGAAGGTAAATATTTTATATAGGGACCAAAAAAATTTGTTGATAGGCAACCATAGCCACCTTGGTGTAAATCAGAGCTAGACTCCAATTAATTTGTTGATGTTGGGGCAAAAATTTGTGAAGAGCTGCTGAACCTGCTCAACCTTTGCAATAAAAATAACTTTACAGTGTACACAAACTTACTGAAAAAGTATAGCGATTTAGGATTGGTTGATTATTTCTTCGTCAATGCTTCTTGGCAATACATTTGGGACCAGGGTAAAGATTATTTATGTAATTTTAAATGCTGACACATTTAGAAGGAATGTGCATTTATAAGTTCGGCAGTATAGTTAGATAAGTGAGCTGCATCCATCTAAAGATCTAGGGTATCAGATACTTGGGTATCAGATACCTGGGTATCATTTAGCCTATCAACAAGCTTGTTGAATTTGTGAATCTAGTTCTTCAGCTTCATCTTAACAGCAAGACACCTGAAACCTTTAACATAACTGGTCATCCCAACAAGACAACGACCACAAATACAAATCCATAGTGGCTTTGCAATGGATAAACTATGCAGAGATGCACAGATTAAGATTGATAGTTGTGGGTCAGTGGGTGGAAACCAACACATTTGAATGGATTCTAGCAGTTCTGGTAAGAGTTGTCGCCGGTTTGACGCTATGAAGATGATCAGAAATTACCTGTGCTGTAATCAATCATCCTCCACTGCAAAGAGAGAAGTGCTGCTAATGTTAATTCAAACATTAACAAGTGTGGCCAACATGGATTTCTGCTCCCTGATTGGCTTGGTTGTAATTCAACTGGAGAAATCTAACTCAATGGTAGAAATCATAGACACAGATCTGGCGAGAGATGATTGTGTATGAAGGTAATGGCCAGGCTATTGGTATGGGAAGTAAGCAGAGAGGTGCACCATACTAAGAGTATCATAAAGAAATATTCGGGTGGCGTACATATATCTATTTACAATTTAAATCTGATAAGGGTATTTTCATTCCGTCCTTTAAAAAAATTAGCACTGGAGCTTCATTAAAAACATGAACATTTATTAAATGTATTTCCCTGATGAATGTCCCAAGCAGGGGACCGAATATGTGCCAAACATTTTCCCATCATTAACCGGTTGTGTCCATGAGTCCACATACATCAGATTAAATCTCAACTCTGCAGCCTAAAAGAGGACACAAGCAGATAAGAGGGATGGGGACCGGCCTGCCTGCTCTGGACCCAAGCTGAGGTAAGACAGTCTTAGGCAAAGTAGAACAATCTTGTCCCATCGATCCAGATGAGAAATCCTGTCTGGATGTCCTGGATGCTGTGCCGTCCAGGCCGAGGAGGAACAGAACCATCTGCCCTGTTATCACCTCAAATCCGGCATCTGTGTTTACACAGTATGGTGGCGCATTAGCACTCTAGTGCAGCTTTCATAACCTGTAAAGGCACCATTACTACTGAAAAATAAATACAGTAGCTCACGAGCAACAAGCACCGAAATCCATGTTTATGTCTTTTTCATAGGCGCATTACATTTTTAAGCGAGACAACGTCAAACTGCACTTGCACTTATGCCAGCTGTCTTCCTGCCGCACCGACCTGTCTGCATTCAAGCCGTACGAAAATACCCAGGACTTCACCGTGTAAATAATAAAGGAGCCACAAATCGCTAAGCACCAGAAGTCCTATCGATTAAACATGAATGGACAACATTTTCCTTTTAATTCTACAACTTCTCTCCTCGACTTCTGCTCCCGAAGATGTGATGCAACACAATCCTATCTTTTTCAAAAACAAACAAACAAAAAAACACTTCCAGGAGAAAACATAAAATATGGACATGTTGTCTTCGTTTCACCCTGGATCCGAACTTTTGAAAGATAGAAAGAAATGAATGAGAGCACTCCTGCACAAAGCAAAAAAAAAGAACACCCCCAAAGAGCAAAGCAAGTCCCTATTTGCCTCATGTCCTCTACAGGGTAAAAGCATGACATATAAAGACAAACATTCAACATAGCCGTATAAAACGCAGAAAAACTGAGAGCCTAGTTTCTGTCTTTAAAACTTTAGATTAAGAAGTGAATTATTTCATGTTTCCTCATCCAAATTGCAGTTTACTTCTGCTTCCAAAAAGTTTAAGCAAAGACTTTAATCCATTTGACCCTTCAGCATAATTTTCCACCTTTCTGCCATTTCTTTCCTTTACATCTCCCACTCTAAAGAAAATCAGTTGATCAAACAAGTTTCTTTGTGTGTCATATTTGACCAACAAGGTGCTTCAAAGTGCTTTACACCATAAAAACACAAAGATAAAACGTCCCAAACACAACATTCACCGATTGAGAAACCAGGAACAAACGTTACATTTTGTCAAGTGGCATCGTCAAAATCACCAATACACATCAAATAAGTTGTATTGATGTTCCAGTGATTTTAGTTCAAAAGCAATATCTTTTTGTGGTCCCTAATCCCTCCAGAGGTACGCATAAATAGATAAAGGTAAAATCAAGATAACGGTCTTGTTCTTAAATGTTGTCATATTAATCAAATCAAAATGAGTTTTATCCATTTACTGCCAAATTATATCAGTCAATACTTCCAGTTTCACTGTGATCGTAAACATTTATGCAAAATCAACAAATCGCGTCATTTTTCTTATGTTTGTGCATTACAGAGTTTACTGAAAAATCGTCAAAAACATTGGTTTTAAGTGATGCCAACTTAGGTAGCTGTGGCGGTATATTTTGGTGCAGGTGGTGGTGTATTTTTCTTCTACACTTGCAAATAATAATAATTTAAAAAATCACATTTATTATGGAAATATTGCAGTATTTTTTGTAAATATTTTGAGAATGTTTTCAATTTGTTTTCCCAAATTGAAAACGAGTTTGACGCCCCTGCTGTAAAAGTATTAAATCATACGAGCTGAACCCAAATGCAAACAAAATGAATGTGTCCTTTTCGTGAATATCAATAATCATGGGCTGGTTTGTATTAGCTTGGTACAAATCTCCCCCCTCCAAAACAAAACGGGATAAGACATATTTCAGGTAGGTGCACCACAAAATGTGGAAAAAGCGAATAGCGTCTCACTGCTTTTGCAATGCACTGTGGGTTACCCTGCTCCGTTGAACAAACAGTGATGTATCGTGGCCTCGACTTCTTTTTTTTGTTGACAGCTACCTCCGAGCAGTCTGTCAACAAGCCGATGTAAATTCCCAATGAGGCGCAGCGCACAGCGAGCTCCAGCAGCTCATCAGTGTTTTTCCTATGAACTGCTCTCCACTGCACGCCGCAGCCCGGTGCATCAACTACAAGCAAAGGTCCGCTGCCCGGCGCCCCGAGGCCCATCGACTGTCTTGTCGGTTATGATTGGCCGGGTGCTTTGTTGCCGCTCACGCTTCGCTTGAGTAGAATAAGTGAGGAGAATTTCAATCAAAGTAGAATAAATCCCCTTGTTGACGCCGGTCTCCAGAATCAATAGACAGTCAACAACTTTAAGCTGCGCCTGGCGCGCTTCGGGGCGTCGAATCCCTCATTTCTCACCGGAGGAGAAAAGAAAACACCTGGATGCCTCCTACTTCACCACAGAGCGAGTTACTCTGTTTGCCGAGTTTCAGTCATTTGTCTTCATACTGAGCTGCAGCGGCTGAGGTGGATGCTGAGGACGCTCACCGGCAGCTAATGGGTTTTCTTTTATTTTGACCAAAAGGTGCTTGAACACGTCTTCCGCGTTTGACATTTTCCATATAATGTTGGGTTAACACAACTGCAAGTGTCAGTGTGTTACTGGGAATTTTATAGGTGAACTTAAAGTGGTTCTAAGGCTTTCAGATCCAAAATTTCACATCATGTAAAATGAATCTATATAGAATATGAGTCTTACTTCTTGAAATTAGCAGCAAAAAAAATATGACTTTTAGACAATATTCAACTGTTTTTTATGTGTACTTGTTTCTTCTTCATGTTTTTCACCTACAAACTCAATCTCCTGTATTCAGCCACATTACCAGCAAATGTTACAGAAGTGACGATTGCCCAAATATGTTTTATAGATGACGTATGCTTTCTGAATCATCTTAAGGCTTCCTTTTTCCTTTTTTCTGTTTTTGGTGTGGGGCAAAGTTCAGTTGCACTCTTTTGTTGTCGACGCACAAAAGAGCCCTCTGTATCTGTGAGGCTGGATAATGAAATGTCTACCTCCCGTGGCGAGTTCTGCACATGTTGTGAAGAGATTTTTTTTTTTTTTACCTCTGTGATCTTCCACCAGTGTTTCTCACCCAGGCCTTGTTTCTTCACACAACTCAACACAGATTGTCTTATTTTTCCTCTTTTTCTGTACCCAAACAGCTGCTTTAGCCTTCCCCTAATGATCCCGCTGTCTCTCAGATTAATGCGTTATATTTTGCCACATAAGGACAGCCTGATTA